CAAATGAAATCAGATAGAGTTGTTAAGCAACATGCCTTATTTCCGGTTTACGTGTAACGGTGTCAATAAGAGCCAGACCTTTGACCCAAACCTTTGCACCAAAGCCACTGTTCGCTGTTTTTAAACCAAATAGACCTTTTAGGTAGAGATAAATGAATAAAAAAAAATAACAACAGCAATAACAAAAAACACAAAGAAACTAAAATGAAATATAAATAGGTAGTTCAGACGCAGCATCTCGCAAATCGCGTAAGACTGCCTTTGAAGAAATTTACCATAAACTCTGAAAGACGGCGATTCTTCTCAATTAAATTATCCCTGAATTAGGAGAGTCAGGATAGGAAACCGGGATCTGTGCACTTTAAAACACTGAGAGATTATATACCTGTTTGAGAAAATCTGTTGTGGTTTTTCTCTTTTGAATGGCTCTCTGTAAGTACATAACACGTGGAGTTCAATGCCTGAAATGAAACTAACAGATCATCCATCTCTGCTCTGTTTCCCTCGAAATATCCAAAACAATAATTGCCTTCAACAGAAAAGCCATTGAGATGTTCCTTCAAAAAGTCGATCTCTAAATCTCTTAACATTGTTGGCTTTTGGTCTTCATCCATGGCAAAATCTTCCAGGAAAAGCAAACTACAGTGCGAAAACCAAGTTCCTGCCAAATTTGATTGACATTTTTGACAACCGGAAATTATGATACTTTTTTTTCGTCACGCACGTCACGCAGCTAGCTACAAACCATATATATAATTATTCTTGGTGCCTTTCCGAATGCCACTGACTCCCTCTCCGAAGCCTCCATTGTTTATTAAAGCAGTAAGAGATATGAGTTCAATCAACACTTTTGAAAAATTGCTTAAACTGTGAAATAAACTGTTAACATTTCGGCTTTACAACACGATTGTCTCTGGAACAACAAATTTTATGTCTCTATATGAAGTATAAAAGCTGTTTCACCGCTGACCGCTCATGTTTGGGTCGTTTTTTCTATCCCCGCTCGTCGCCCGTGATGTAGTAACTCCCATCCGCGCCGATGGCTACCAGTCGGCCATGTTGGATTACAACTAGTGCCATACTCCCTCGGTGAAATGAATAAACATGCGCCCGCGGTCACTTAGTTATGTGTAGAAGACGCGGGAAAGATACCTAATTCTTCTCTGGAAACAGCTGTTACACAGGCAGCTACGCTCTTAGAGAGAAGCTTTGAAACATTCTATGGGTCGATAGATTCACTGTTTCCTAATCATTCCCAGCAATCACCAGCGTGTGACGGCGTTGCCAAGGAGTTTTAGAGCCGTAAGAAGTTTTAAAGCTGTCAGCCCGTCGTCGGAGCGAGCTCTAAAGAGGCCTACAAGTCACCTTAGGAAAGAATTACCACAGATGCTTTGGAAACCAGTCACCTCATTTGCGAGCGAAGATTAAAAACTACCCATCTGTTTTGCTTCGAAAACTCGTTAAGTAATCTATCTCTTGATCACGGCTGAACTTTCATGGCCTATCGAAAGTCTTACCTTAAATTCTCGATTTAGCGCCGCCCCTAGAATGGCGTTCCCTTCGACAAAGTGTCGCTCCTGTCGGAGGAAATTTTCAATCAGCATCCTTACTCGGCTTGAATAGGTGCCTCATCCACTCCATTACCCTTCGCCTGGTTTAAAGCACTGGCGCTAAGTGAAGGATGTACATTGTTTACAAGTTTAATTCATCACTCTCGTCCGACCTGAGCGCATTTATACAGCACTTATTTCAGTTTGTAAACATGGTAAATATGAGATAGTTGCGACTCTCAATTGTGCCGCTTAAAAACTTTTGGGCCAGCTTTAAAACAATAACTCCAGCTTTTATTTTGTATCCACTCAATAGCTATAACACAGAAACTGATTAATTCTGGCCACAATTTCGAAAATTCAATTCGCGCCCTTGGCCTATCGTAATGCGCATGGGCACTATTTCGGGTATCTACTGTAAAACAATCTTTTGAAAAAATTACGGTAATCTCCAAAGGGCATGCTACGGTAAGCCTCGAGCCAATCATAAAGTAATCATTCTAGTGGAACTGTGAACAACAAGGCCGCTGAATGTTTCTGAACGCTGTTTTTGTTTCAACACAGCCTTTTGGCTTAGTGAAGAAACTCCAACCAATGTCATTAAATATGATCCGAAACAATTTAAACATGGACTTCTCTTCGTCAAAGATAGAGGAAATAGATTAAGTTTCAATTTACGTTTTAACCTGCTTAATATCAGCCTAAATCTCAACTTCAGAGAGAAATGTGGTATTTTTGAAGAAGACAGAGAGCGCAGAGTCTTATGACCAGCTATTATACAGTGGTTTCAGTGACTTTTCCATAAGTGTTTCCGGTTGTTGTAATAGGCGGTTGTGCCTGCAAAAGAGCCAAAAAGCTACACCCAAACACGAAGCACCCTCGTGGGCAAAACAGACGGCGGTGGGCGGTCTTAACGGCTGCGGTACACCGCCGGGAACCGACTTCCATTAAAATCCCTGTTATGCTTTGGGCTCCCAGTTTTTCCCCTCGCCTGTGCGCATTATCCGTCACCCAGGTGACCACAAGCGATAAGACAATGTCTTTCTCTAAATGGTTATATTAATTTATGGATAAAAGTGCCTTTAGTACTAGAAGGCTTTAGCACCATGTGCTTACAAATTACATACAAAATAACTAATTTATCTACTGTGCGATAAATGCTATGTTTTCTTTACTGGAAGATAAACTTATGAGGTAAATTACGACATTGCCAAACATAGCCCTCGCAGAGACAAGCGCTTGGTGACTTTACCGAGGATGTTCGGGTTAACTTACATGACGTAGTATGCCTCTTTTTCATATAATTGAACTGATAACTAAACGTGACAGATAAAAATCTCACAAAGTAACACGAATTTTACGTGGTGCACAACGTAGGCACATATCAATGGTTCAACGACTACAGAAAAAAAATTCGAATACAAAGCATATCAAGCATTCCAACAGTACATCATCAAATTTAGCAAAAGCACGTTTACGGCGACAAGTCCACTTCATTAGATATATTGGATTGTCTATTACAAGTTGTATTGAAATAGGTTCAAATTATTTTAAAAAAGGTTTAAAATGTAATCATTCGAGAGCAAAAAGGCTTATTGTTCTCTGCCTTTTAATTGAAAACTACTCTTCTAATGAACTGAGAATCGTGGGTGTCTGAAAAACTACAGGATTTCTTAACCGAGTTACACATTCGGCGAAATTTCTCAGTCGTGTAGATAAATATTTGGTCACTGACAAGTCCTTAAAGGCCAAAACATTAAAACTTCCTCTTGTATTTGGTCAAAAATATCCCAAGCAGACAGAATCAAAACATTGAATCTAGTTTCAGTCTGTAGGAAGAAGATTTGTTCCAGAATGAGTCCTGAATTTGTCAAATTTTATCCACACGAACTTTCTGGAAATTGCTCAGTTATTTGCAGTTGCCTCTCTGCCTCATGATTTTTCTATGTCGCTTGGACTTCCATGGCACAATGGCCTTTACGATGTACTTTGTCTTCTTTCCTATTTTCCTGTCAAGTATTATCAAGTGTGTAACCTCTTTCTTCACTCTTCCCGCCACGTTCTTGCAGCCTTTTCTTGGTAGCAGCACACGGTCGACGCTTTCGACAGCTTTCTTCGTCTTTCTCTGGCTGCGGGATCCTTGCCTGGCAGATTTCTTGTGCCTCTTGATTTTGATCAAAGTGTAGGAGCTGTCACCTTTTGATTCTCGTGTTCCCAACACCTCTGCGCGAATAACTGCGTTGAAAAAACAAATAGCAAGTTTGAGAGCTTTCTAGATAGAGGGGCGGTTTTGTATCTCTTAATAATATTCTCTGAAGTTTTCCTTCGGCATTCTACTCATCAATCTTCTCTGTGCTTTCAACCTCTGATTCACCCGCAGTAGATGCATTTCCTAGTTTGTCTTAACAGTTAAATTCAATCAAATGTAACAATTTTCATTAGAAAATGGTGATAGATAAGGCCACGTAGCCAGAATTTAAAGCTACAATTTGACAAAAAAAATCAAAAACAAAATAAGGAAACAAGTAAAAGTAAGAAAAAAGCAAAAAACTTTGAATTTAAGACATAAATTTGATTGTGTTTGCATTGGGGTAAGTTCGTGGTTAGCTTTGGGGGTCTTGGAAATCCATCAGATCTTGAGGGCACAGTGGATGTCTGGAAAGTAAAGCTCAATAGCTTAAGACAGACGTGGGTGGTAATTTACAAAATTTGCAAAGTATTTTCTTTTTTAGCCACGAGGAAATTTTAGCTTTAGCTAGAGTGATCTTCGTGTCCCATGAATGCGAAGACAACACTCATCTCTTCTGTCCAATCTTAATTGATCTTAGCAAAACAATATATAAGATAAATTTAAATCAGATTTTATGCTTTTATCGTTTCTCTTTAAGTCTCCGACGACCTTCTTTTGACCTTGGCGACTGCAACCTATTTTCAAGCTTAGCTGACTAGAGATAACACCGAAATCTAATAAGATCTAGCATTATGAATCTGGATAAAGCAAGTCATTTTAAGCTGTACTCCCCATAACGGGATGAATGTCTATACCTGTGGCAATCTAGTGTTATCTTTTGTAAAATCATTTGATGCGTATGGGCTAAACGAAGCGTTTATTTCTTAGTCATTTTCAAGCGGTTTATTGCATTACTTCTTAGGTTTTTGAAACACTTCGTCCGAAGTAGGAACAAGCGATTGGTATTTAGCGGTATATGCTTCAGGTCTAGTTCTGCTATCCACAGATTGTCATCATTCTAATTACAAGGTGAACCGCTTCGATATTTCTAGACCTTGAGGCCAACTATGATGACACCGAAATGGAGTTGAGGTGAAAGAATAGCATACAAAGACAACAGTTTTTCGAGAATTAATTTGATAATTGCGACCATCAGCTCATCCACTTAGTTAGATCACCGAATGGATCTCATTTGTGAGCTTATCCTTTTTCCTTGATCATTAAACTTAAACCAATTTTGATCTTATTAAATTTTGTTTGCCACACAAATCAGATATAACATATTGTACTAAGCAGTTTTACGTTGCTAGGACAACTTCATCGCATAGCTTTAAAATCGACATCGGCCCTTTCGATTCTGGACCTGAACTTTTATTAAACTTTTGCCTATTTCAACGCCTTGGTTAAGTGCCAACACGGTTTTTGAGAGAAAAAGAATCATTCAAATTCATACCAATGAAAATTGTGTATTAAATAAATGTTTGGGCAGGTAAGTGACTTATATTCACCTCCTATTGGCGAAGGTTATCAAATTCGAAATATGTGTTTTTCTATGCCTGTTGCTTATCAAATGATAGGTCGCAGTTCTTTGAGGTGGTGCAAAACTCCTGCCCGTATCACTCTTATCTCTGCCGTTTCAGACACCGAATTGATGTGAGTAGTATTTATCTGCAAAACCTCGACTGTTAAAAGGTTTAACGGTGAGATATGGTGGCCGATAATGAGCGGCTGCCGGGGGTCAGTAAACTCACTAATCACTTTCTCGACTCCTCCACACAAACTTTGAACATCACAACCAGTTCAAACCTATTCTACCCAATTTGAAACATTTGATGGTTTATTACATTATTAAGCTTTTAAATATAAAATTCTTATCTGGTCTTATGGTGCAAACTTTATCAGCAAAAAATTAATTCAAACGTCTTCGGGGTCGAAGTCAGATGTATTACGGGCCTTCGGTAATGGCTAAGAACAAAGCCTTTAATTCTCACAAATAGATATAAAAGCTCCGGTTAGAATCGTCCTCTCCCAAAAAGAGATTCGAATGAACTAGGAAATGTAGAACAGAGGCATGCAAAACGATTTTTTGTTTGCAATTTTCTACGTTGTAAATCAATGGTTTTAGGTTTGATCAGACATTGGGTTCAATTTTAATTGGATAGCGTGTTAAGGAATCTGCCAAGATGACAGACGTGTAATAAATACGTTCATACGACGTAAATGCCGTTCACTTTAGCTAATTACTAATCAATCACTGCTCATTTTCGGCGCGCACTGAAGTACGTAGTCAAAACACATCACGATAGATTTGCAAGAAATCTCGCTTCACCTTTTAAATTTAACTTAACCCCAGACGGCTGTTTTCGCACAGAAAGCTCGAGGCACATTTTCGAGAGCGTCGCTAATTATAATGTGAAATTTCTCAAATGAAAGGCCCCTGTCATGTTAATTACCTGTGATGATTTATAGAGAATTCAGAAATTACGTGAACCGGTCCTACAAAGCGTCGAGAAATTGCGATAACACATCGAAATGCGCAATCATGGCAGATATTTCTGGGGCTGAGGCGAAAATGAAACTTTTCAAACGGTTGCGGTTTCGCTGAAGTGAACCATCCAGATACGGGACGGATTTGCAAAGTGGCGTAATACAGAATCACATTTGGTGGTCTGAGACATTTGTATAGCGTTAAAAATACGCTAACACTTGTATAACCGTTGACACCTATTCAAAGGCTCGAGGCGACAAATTCTCCAACCTTTGCTACACACTTTTCAGCTTAATGAGTCACTGGCCTTTTTCAAATTGCTTTCCATAATAAAAATATCCGAGTCACGTCTAAGGCGAAAAATTTTGCATAACTTTACGCTCCCGACACTCAAGTGTGCTAGAACAACTTATTTCATGATTTTCGATTTTTACATGTCATACATTTTGACTAAAACTACCGTAGAGAAACCAAAATCTGGAATGTCCCCAAAAGATTTGTATACGTGTTTTTATTAATATGACAAAGTCATTAGCAATTCTCACCCAAGTCACTCCTACAAGCTTTATTCTGAAGGACAGCATCGTTGTTTAAATCTGGGTCACAAATTACGTCTTTGACTGAAAAAAAAAAGATGAAAAAGATATATTGGTAGGAAATACTTAAGAGATGGATTCAACGGAAAACGTTCCTCTGACTTCCGTTGCTTCGCTCCCTTTCCGTAAGCACCTCTATATTTAGCAATGGGTTGGTTGGTGAAAAACAGATTGGCACAAAACAATCTATTTTGTAGCTAAATCTGACGAGTTCTCCCCCCCCCCCCCTTACGATAGCCAAACTACCATAGTTTCAGAGATTGTTCTCTAGAAAAGAGTATACTTCAAATCTTGTGTCTAAATATAGTGATCATTTGTGCCCGGTGTTGTACAGCCTTCAATGTTTTAAATCACCTAGGTTTAAATAAACACATGAAAGACGTAAAGCGTATTATTATACGTCAATCCCGATATCAAATTGTAAAAAGGTACCTGGAGGAGGAGGCTTTGGGGTCGAAACGAAGTCTTCTCGAACGCACATAAGATTGTCCATGTACCCCGTGCAATTGAAGGCATCGTGACTTGGCCATGTATAATTATAACTACTCATCACGGGCTCGCAGCTCTTTCTCACGCTCTCACAAAACGACTTGCACAGCTTGATGTTGACATAGTCTCCTTTCTCTTTATCATACAGGCAAATCGGCGCGTAAATGGCGCACAGGAACATCTTAAGGCCAGAATGGCACTTTCCGACGAGAGGGGCCCAGGGCATGATCGCCTCGACAGTTTCCGAGAGTTGAAAATTGTTAAAAACATTTGGGAGTCGCATGTAAGAGTAGCTACCGCCGTTTGTCAAGTTCTGGCAGAAAGGTGGCACAGGCTCGCAGCGTCCTCTGACCCTGAAGCCATGTTCATGTGATGTAGAAGCTACCGAACAAGTCATCAGAGCAACGATGAAGAAACTGTAAAGGAACGTCATAGCGTCGCTTTCCTTGCGGTTGTACTGGCGTTAAATCCACGATCTTCCAGACAGGATCACACGGTAGCGTATTTAACCAGTGGACTGTGGGCGGTGCTTGAAGTATATTGATCGAATTTCCAGCTTTTCTGCCGAACACAAAAGGCACTGTCAAACACTTTCATGGGCAACAAAGGCATGTGAAACATTTACGCGTGTCATCTATGGAAGTGATGATATTCTTAATGAGCTATTGTCTCGAGTCTCCTTTGAATGCGCGTCAATCAGGCCATGTTTTGGGAAATGAAAAAAGAGGGCTTAATGCCTGAAAGTTTGAATGGGCACGGCACAACCTTTCGAACTTTACATACCATTGAAAATCAATATTTCTACCGCATGAAAAGCACTGGTATTCATTTATATCAATTGCCGTGAACAATAGAAAAATCTGTATCTTCACTTTTCGGTATTCAAACCAAGCATGGGTCGCGATGGCAATCATAATGACTTTTCTTCATGCGAGATGAAATCTCTTTGGTTCTGTTATGCTCACCGAAAAACATTGGACGCTTTTTCTCGTCTTGTTCTCGCTTCACTTCTCACGAAGATTAAGTGGATTACGAGCAAGTAAATGGCGTTAGTGATGTGTGAGGCTTTTACACCACTGTGGCTGACAAATCTTAATGGCTAGCTTTTTGCACCCTAATCCGGCAATCAATTCTACAAAGCAAGGGACAAAGGTTCAGGCATAAAAAATACCATTTGACTATACTCTCCTGTGTGAAGGTGTTCATGAGTTGTCCTTGCTATTATTTAAACAAACAAAACTTATGACTGGGGTTTCTTAGCATGTGTAAAATCCCTGTCTGGGTCCTTATCTGCTTAATTTCAGCACGGTAGCATACGATTACCACATTCAACACGCGAAACATGAATTAAACCCGTTCAGGCGGAAACCTAGTGAGCAAGTATGTAGTGGCAAGGGTTCTGGCCTCCTACCGATGTTCCTCGGGTTTAGTTTCAGTCTTATGTGGCCGGGTTGATATTTCATTCTTTCTCGCCCTTGCTCAGAGATTTCTCTTCCAGTTTCTTTGAGTTTCTACCTTCCGTAAGAGTCAATCCCCCCTAAGCCGACTCCACTCGTAAATACAGGCCCTGCTCCTTGACCGAGTTCCTTAAAGAGGCCTGCAACCTTTCCGTACGATTGCCCATTTAAAATGATTTGAATCAGATTGGTCGTAAAAGCTTGAGTCATAATTGTTGATCTACAGCTTGCCCGTGTGCGTTAAGTCAGAGTTAACTCTCGACAAAGTTGTTATCGTCTTCGATGCATGAGAAATCTGACTTCGTCTCCGTCGGCCGAAAGCATGAAGATAAGAGAATTCCTCAGTTTGAATCGACATTGAATTGTTTTGAAACCAAAGTCCATAAGACATCAAAATACTATATTTTCACCGTTTCCTTGAAGTACTTCGTTGGAAAACGGAGAAGAAGACAAGATGCGACAAATCGGGCGTGAAAGGCGCGAGCGCATATTCCTCGGTGAAACGCTTCAAGTGAGGCATTTGACTAATCTTTTAATTCCCATGAGTGGTCAGGACAGAATTTCTCCTTACAATATCAAGACAATATCCAGCAGACAAGTGATGAGAATAAAGAAAAATATCAATTGGGGGATTATAAGTTGATCCAATACCAGATTCTCTGAACTAATGATAGAAACTGTATGAAAGGTAATGAGTAGAAGTACTAATGAGATCTTGCGAATGAAAGGGTTAAATCAAATCTCGCCGAATCCTTTAATAGATTTATCATTGGCTCGCCCATTTGGAAGAGGTTGAAGCCTTTATAGTACAGGCGGCCGTGGTAAAAAGGCATAGCCGGGTTACCTAGATTGACCATGGAAATTATGTCGAAACTATGCTAATAAATGTACTGTAATTTAATATAGCGAATGCCTCAAGACGTTTGGGTAGACTCAATGTGTCGATCATCTTGCAGTTTTCACAAAAAAATATATTTTATACCGTGATTTATCATTTATCAACAGCTGACATCCAACTCAGGACGCAAACAAATTCTGGGTAAAAACATGAAATGGGAACATTAATCATTTTTTTTTTTGCAAGATTCAAGTGGTGCTCATGGCTTTTCTCTCAAAACTCTTCTATAGACAGCTTGAATTGACCCGCGGCTGAGGAAGCTCTAGATAAGGATTTTTGGAATCGACCTCACCTGTCAGAAATGCATCCATCATTCTATCACCTCGAAACACGCCTTCTCGATAATTGAGCAAAATAATGATTTCTAGCAGTTTGCCCGTTAGACATGACCTTCGATCGAAATTCTCTCGCCATAACGTTCTAGTTAAGATTAAGCGAAACAAAAAGGAGATGTACAATGTTGGAAAATTAGAAAGAGAAAAAAAACAGTGCGTAGATACACAAATAGACAGATCTCGAGAAAAGAATAGTGAAGTGGTTGGGCACCAAAGATTGACAGGGAAACATCGGAATTATCTCAACACCCATAAAAAACGCTTGAGAAGAAAATGCGTTGCAAGCTTGATGCAGTTTAGATTAATTATAACATTGGCGGTAGGCCGCTAAGTATGCAGAGGAAGTTTTTAATTTATTGACCAAGGCGTGGAAATGCCACTAATACCGCAATAATTTAAGGTGGAAATAGATTCTTGTCTTGAGTGGCCTTTGCGGTTTTGAGTTAACCTCCTACGTGTTGGCCCTTAGGAAATAAAAGCCCGCCAATTTGCCCTGATATGCCTAAAATTTTAAAACCATCCAAGGAACTTTGTAACAGTTACCCTACCACTGATTATAAGTTTCTTTATCAAAGAGAAGTCGTGGTTAAAAAAAGTAATAAATGACGCTTCACTTTGCCAAATTGACGACGTGAATTAAAAAACGTTTTTCGCTCCTAAACGCTCTGGGCATTACATAAACTATGGGAAATTTCATTAACAACTGAATTGGCAAGTACTCGGACGCGATAAGAATTCAGTGCCAAGTGAAAGTTTTTATCCACCATGAATTTTATGCTATCCGCTATCAAATTGCAAGAATCGACCATCTCCTTACTGTAAGTGGAGTGATTTAAAATCTATGGCAACTTTGAACAATTAGAGTACAAAAAAAAATTTAAAGTTCCCCGATGTGAGAGCAGTAGCACTGTTCTCACATCGGTCGAAAAAGGGAGGAAGGATTTTTTCACAATCTTAACAGATTTGTTCGTAGTAATTACTTCATTCAGTAAATGGTTCGCAAACAATGCTAAAGGTGATCGAATGATCCGAGTCATCTCTTTCAAAATTCAAAGAACCGTTGAATTTTACTCAAATTTTGCGTTGTGCCTTCACCTTAAACAAGACTAGATTAACCTTGTTCTAAATTGTATTCCGCTAATGCACACTATTTAACTTGGTCTCAGGCTTCACTGCGAACCAACGCTAAGTGACGAGGTTGGATATTCGAAAATCATCAATACTTAGCTATGCTTGTAATAACATGAAGGAATTTTGATTAAATAGCTGAAATTTGCCTGAGTTCTATGAACACAGGGTGATGACATACTATCAAACCAAACCCAGACGAAAAATTGCAATCATGATCATGTAAAAAAACAAAAACAAAAACAAAAACGCGAAAGACAAAGACAAAGATAAGAGTGAAAGGTAAGCCGGGAAATAAAAGTGAACCTTTTTAGTGGCAGTTCGGGCAGCTGTTGAAGTTGTTTTAAACCCATTTGTCCACCGAAAATAAAGTTTTCAAGATGTTTATCAATCCTTGAGTTTACGGCTAAGATCTCTGAGAAACGTTGGCACACTTTTTTCGAAGAAGAGGCTTTGTCAGTGAGTAGGTGTACCCCTTCCTTATTTGGTTTCATCCGCCTTCTTATCACATATATTAATTACGCAACAATTCGATCATCAAGTCCATAATTACGAGTGAAACTCGTGTAGGCTTTAATTCCACAGCCCCAAAGTTGTTTGGTTGTTTTTCTTTTCTTCAAGCGACAGGAATATCTTCCCCCCTGAGGGGACAGAAAAGGTCCTGGTCATCGCAAGGGTTTGCAGACTGAAAAAAAGCAAGCTCACCAGGAATGTCTGCCACCTGTTTGATGTTTTGTCACAAAACAACATTTTAAGAGTTCCCTGAACGAAGGAAGTTGGTTAAGGCAGTTTGCACCATAACTGTTTAATTGAAGGAAACTTTACAATCTTAATTCGCCGTAGGAAGCCAACACCCAAAAGGTATGAATTAACGAAAACGGAACGGAGATGATTAGTGATGGAAGAGACGGAATTACTTGGATGGATTACAAATAAACAACTTGCATAAAAACACCCGTGGGGGAGAGGGTAAGGGGTTACTTCACTTTCTGGGGGTGCTGTGCTTCATAGTTCTCCAAATCCTGACCCTTTTTTAGATAAAAACATCTCTTTTGCACACCTATTTTTAGTCATGGTCTCTAGAATCCACACTTGTCTCCAGACTTGTTCTTGAAAGTTCAACGTCTCTTGAAAATCAATCAAGTACTGTTTTTTCGTAATTATACTGCGCATGAATGACAAACTCAAGAGTTACTAAATTCAGTTCATACGATACATTTTTATTCGGTTAATTTTCAGCCTCGTTATTCATTTGCAGCTAAAAACAGAGACACGTTTATACGCTCCTTTAGTTCACTCGAAAACCATACTCGATGCAAGAATATAATGGTCAAAATATATCTCCCTTTTTGGCCAAACTGGACACACTCCTTAAAGCAGCACATCCCTGTTTTGTTTATAAGGGAGAGAAACAACTCTCTACCCCGGGGCAAAATTTTTGCACGAGGTGCTGATTTCATTCCTCTGAGTCCAGAATTACACAGTTGAAAGAGTATACAAAGAGACATAGACTAAAATAGAAGAAAACAAGTTTGAGTGCTACATCTTTTCTTAGAAACTTTTCCAGAAAGACCCACAGACAGAAGGTAAGTGTTTGATTGGAAGCGAAGAAATACAAAGAACAGTGCTCACCAAACCTCTTGCTTACAAGTCAGCAACTGCTGACACTCCTTACTCAGTCACTGATTCTGAAATTTGACCACTGACTATAGCAGGTGAGGTGACGGGTAATTTGCGCGCTGAAGCTTTCTTGATGGGAGTGTTTTGTGTTGCACATCGCTGTAAAAGAAAACTTTGATCGCCCAGGTCCATGTCCAAGTAAGCGTTATCGATCATTGCATTTTGAACTTAGAGGAGTTTTCAATTAAGTGTAGAAAATTAATCCAAGATTGCATCGGTTTCGCTTTACCGGCCTCACTCTGTGATTGGTAAAAAACTTGCGTCACTCTCTCAACCAATCAGATGCTAAACTAAAAGCGATCACGACTTAGTCGTCCGCGTGTTCCAGCGCTTTAGGCAGTTTGCTTGTTTTTACTTTAAGCTCTCACTGTTTTTGAAAGGAATTTTCCTTTTTTTCGATTGGCCGTTGTGATTTCTTTAGTTTTGGTTTTACGAAACTCAATCGAAAAGCCCCATAATAAACATCAAATAACAGCAATGCAGTTGTTGTTAAATGTCCCACGACTATTTTTCTCTTTTTTCCTTAATCTTCACCTATCAACTAATTTTCCTTTTCCCATGGTCTCTGAACTTTTGCGTGATAGCAAAGGTGTTGATCCTTGAATTTTCCCTTAAATTCTTGAGACTGGAAAAAACAAATTGCAAGTAGCAAGAAAAACAAGGTGTTTTCTCCGATCGTGTACGTTTTCACGTTTCTCTCGTGGGACACACGTGAGGTCGCACAAACTTGAAAACTTCAAGGTCAACCACAATTGAGTTAAACGTACACTCAATCTTCATTGGTTGCTTTTCTTGTGTATCTGTTTGTTTACGTAGGGCGGTTATCTTTTGGTTAGTGTCTTGACCTAAGGATTAAAATTGAATACGTGTGTGGGTCCGAAATTCTAAGGCGAAATAATTTTATTTCCACTTCGTATTTCTTTGTGTCTGGTTGTTTTTTGTGTCTGTTTGCTGATGTAGTGCGGTTATCTTTTAGCCAGTGTCTTAACCCAGGGATTAAAGTAAGATATGTTCGTGGGCTCGAAGTTCGGAGGCGAAACAATTTCGTGTCCACTGGTCTAAACTAAGAAAATTATAAGACAATAAGGGATAATTTCTGAAATATAGGAGGTAACTTCACAATGGTAGCATCGTAACCCTGGTCATGAAATGCCATCATATGATTAAAAGCATGTTGATAAGCATTATGCGCGCATAAAGCATTTATTTGTCCATAAGATTTGAAATTAGATCGAAGTAGACCAAAGAACAAAATTTTCATATATCGTGCTTCAAGGGACTCGTCATCTCATTCCTAAGTCGGACCTGACAATTAGGAATACGGCAGTAATGCAGAAGATGAAATCACCCGATAAATCAATTTGCCTCATATCAAAATATTCGGCTTAAAAGAATCAAAATCGATGACAATTATGGCGGAGATGAAGTGTTAATGTGCGTCAAAAGAAAATATGATCAAGGTCACGAAAATGGACATGTTTCGTTTTCTTCAACCCCTTTGATTACAGAGTAAATTTACATTAGTAGACGCTACAACAAATTTTTGAGCTTACCCAGTCCTTGGCCTGAGTTGACGCTTTCTATACCTGTACTGAACAACTGATAAATGTCTCGCTTATTTATACAGTCTCATTCGTCTACAAACAGGCCTTGGCAGGTAAAGCAGGAATTTACGTGATTGAAGTCTGCTTAAGTTTAATTGGGTCTTGAAGCGTGCCAAGTAAGTAGGTTTACATTCATCCATCCGGGAAGAAACGGAAATCTCAGAAATAAACAAATATTTGTAGGTGATAAGCAACTTACAGGGGAGAAAATCTGTTAATTGAATAATTCTATTGATGTTAACGCTTCTTGGCTTTGCTCTTTGAATGATTGTATGATAAGATTTTAAAGTTTTTTATCACGCACGGTTCTACTCAAGGACACTTTTTTTCAGTTCCCGTTTTTGCCTCCGACTCTGTATTTACACATTCCTGTAAGCAGACAGCAGACAGCATCTCATAAGTGGACGCGGACACTTTTTAAAGTGAAAATTGGATTTTCCTTTTGTTTACGATCTCTCGTAAACGGACACCCCACGCATAATAATTGACTCTTAACAATAAAATTTGTCTTGAATTTGCAAATCAACAAAATAAAATGACCTTTGACGGCGTAACAGAACTGTGGGAATCGCTAGGTTTTATCCTGAACTGTGCCGGCATACAAATAAATAGCAATCATTTCCAATTTGAATAAATACAATGCTCTGTCTATTACATGTTCGACTTCTATGATTGAATTTTGATTCATTGTCCCCGCCTATATAAATTGGTAAGGGTGCAACCTTTAGCCATGTACACTGGACTCTGATGTCAGCAGCTTTTTCCTTCTATCTATGTTTCCTGTGCCGATTTACTTAAGTTTCGTAATAGTGCATCTCATACTTAAAGGTATCAAAACAGGAAAGCGCTTTTGACGTTTTGAAAACGAAAGATAACGAAAAAAGTCAAAGTTACAAAAAAGTTTAGACGTTACACGTGTTACGATTGGTTGAAACAGTATGCTGTAAACTAAATCTTTGATTAACACTCCCTATGGCTCAGACAAAATGTAGAGTCAGTCTTTCCAATCTTTTGCCAGCTCGGGCGATCTCTTCCATGCATTAAAACCACTAGCTTTGAGCTCTTCATCTCATAATCTCAAAGTTGGAAAAGTGCTTAATGTCTTGAAGAGCCAAAATCTGGCCTGATTGCAAACGATGAGAAAAATTTGGCTCTATATCTTGAAATGGAAACTTTGAGGAGATCGTTCTTGACCCGGAACCGAAAGCTTACTTGAAGTTCAGTTTATGATTGACACTTGTTATCTCACTAGCTGATAAGTTAAATGAAACCATTCATACTGTGTTTGGTTTATTCAAGCGTGCTTTTGAGGGTACAAATGCACGCTCATCGACGAAAATAATTGTTCTTGTTTTGGAAATTAAGTTTGCTTTGCAAGAATCAATTGAACGTGCGGGAAAGTTAATGAATTATTAATTAATTATCATCAAACACATAAAGACGTCTCGATTACGCTCAGTTCTGTGGGTGAGGCGCTGAGGGAACGGCTAAAGCCCTCGAAAAATCTTCCACTACGCCCCATGATTCAACACTTTGTTCGTGCTCTGCAGTTTCCTGTGTGTTTTACCACAAAACAGAGCGCAGTCAAGGCTTCTTAATTGCAATTTGATTACGAAACAGACAGCCTAGATGTTGAGCCATTAGGTTTACTGTGCACTGTTCGGACAAGCACCAACGTACAGTATATCAGAAAGACCACACATACAATCCATGTCTAATACAGAATCATCATGTAACCAGAAATCTCTATCGCACCACATTCAAATCAAATAAACCGAGAACTAAGCAACCACTTACAGTGCGATTAGAACAGCGGCCAGAAATAACTTGTCGAAAAGTGAAAAACCAAAGGAAAAAAAGACAGGATATCTCGCTAGGAAACAGGCCCCAGCTCATACAACTATCCTAGAAGGCTAAATACATATAAAACCTAGGGAACCACAAGTGTTGTTGGCTTAGAATGATATCCCACGTGCAAACGCAGGATATTCACATTTCTCTATACCCATGATACACCTTCACTGAAGGGCCCAAGCCCACACTCTACTGCTCTGGTACCGCACAAATATTTAATTTCCGGCTTATTTGTTGGTACTCAAACGTAAGGAATTCCATTTTGTTGATATATCATAGAAAAGTAAAGCATAAGACTAAAACAACAGACCATGATCGTAACCGATTATAACCAGAACCAATATTCCAAGTAGGATTAAATAGAAACAAAAACTGTAATAATTTGGCAAACTTGGTTAAACTAAGGCGACTTGGGTGATCAAAGGAAAAGTAATGTAGCCAGAAAAGCCGTGGAGATAATATATTAAACTGTATTTCTTTTTTGTCGTTTCTCATCCTGAAGTGCGGGGGATATTTGATGACACGAAAATTAACTTGGTTGGTAGAAGAATCAATTTATCGTTTCAAAAAAACATTTTATGAGCCCTTATCTATTGCGTGTCTACTCTTCATGGTTAGTTGGCCACTTGAATCATTTGTAAAGAGGACTCTTGATTTTTTTAATGTCCTGGGGCAAAGAAAGTCGATTTAAGGTTTATTGAGGGTTAAAATGTCAGGGAAAGTATCCATGCGTCAAAAATCTTAGGAGGAAAAGTCAGTTTTGTTAATTTCTGGTTAAAGCGAGATAATTTCGAAATGTGGCTCAGAGAAATTGAGAATCGAATGTATACCAATCAGGTTAATTACATGCAATTGCTAATAAAAAAATTGAGGGGATTAATAAATGTATGCAAATCCAGTGTTCCACTTTATTTTTAGCTTGATCCATCCAACCAATGTGGATCGGAGCCCATATAAAACTATCCGTGGTAAAAATTAACTGCATAGGCGTGTATGAGTGTGTGTTTCGCTTTGCTTCTTACGCAAAAAGATTGTAACGAGATTTTACTCTAGGCTCTTTCTATTTGCCGAGCCGGTTTGAAAATTCGACGACATGACATGAATAACTGAATTACAATGAAGTTCGGTCAAGTTCTTTAGGTCAGGAAATGTTTTCTTACTTCCCCTAAATGTCAAAACCTGAGAACTAAGTGAACTGTATGCGGACATACCCATAAAGGCGGAACCGAAGCTAATGAGATCTTCAGTAAAAGCTTTTCAACCAACAGAATCCGGCCCATAATTTTCAGTATCAAATCGCATTCTGTGAGTTTTTCAGAGGCCAAATTAGGCAATCGACAAAGTTATTAATGCTCTCTCAAGATACATAGAGAAATTATGAGTTTGTTGAAATATAACGGTAAATTCATCTCAACAGTGCTTGATATGTCAAGGTTCTTAACCCCTCTATAAGGCTCTGTAATATTGTTATGATCCCCCTCACTGGTAGTTAGCTGACAGTCAATTTTCTATAGTCCCCCTTGTTAACTCCGTTGGCGACGACTTATCTCCCTCTGTTTCCCCTGAAAATCATGTCATCCCCCAAAATACATGCACCCACCCTGGGGGTAAATGGCGAGTGGTTCTCCGAAGGGTCTGATGGGTATCTTTCAGTAGAACAGTTGGTGAGTAAACATCACTCAGTTTTGGTCAAGTAGTTGTGATATAATAGATACGACAATATTCATATATGAAACCTGCTTTACCAAACAAAGATGAAATAAAAAAAAAAATCGTTTCAACTCTGAGTTTTTAAAGTCATTTCCCTTCCAAATTAGGGCAAGCTTGTTATGGTAAATATTTCCGGAAATTCTAATTCGATTTAAAGTTACAGAAAGCAAACTTTGAGTATTAGTCGTCTTGGAGGAAATTCCAAAATCACACTCTGCCGAATCTACATGGAAATTATCTCCCTAAGGATAGGATATTCTATTTGCCGGTCACGCACGTCGTATTAGTATTGAGCCCGTGAATTCACAGGGAAGAGTAGCGGTATAAGCCTGATCAAGGGAGGCGTGCGGAAATTAGAAACTTTGAATCTCTTTCCCCCTTTTTTAAAATCTCAACTACGTCTTTGTTCGGCACCAATACATCAACTTCGATTTTCATTGTGTCGGTTTATTTGTTAGCTTTTTGTTGTTGACGTGAAACCGTGAACACCGACGGAGCAATAGAAGCTAACCAGGTGCACAAACTTACCGCTCAACAATAAACAAGCAAACATTAACGATACCATGCTGAAGAAGGACAGAACTAGCTTGGCTCGCCCCAGACTCTTGGCTATGGAGCTCGGATGGTAATAGCGCCCGACTATTGTCTGGTGTCTAATGCTTTTCTACCTCACGCATTAACAACTATTTGTCTTTCAGCTGAACTAATAATCTGTCCTGCATCTGGGTTTTGCTGGTTTTAAGCTGAGAAAAAATCAGAAAATAGACATACATTGTCAAGCTATATATATAGTTTTTTTGTATTGATGTTGCGTGTTAGCGTGTAACGGAATATAGAATTCCTTTATTGTGGTTTGTGATTTCTTAGCTCGCTCTAAGTGGCTTTCACTGGAAAAGGAGCTTTTGTCATTCTACTGTTTTATTTCCAAAAGATCATCTGTAGAGATTAACGCTTTTCACTGACGTTTTCGAGCTGCTTAATGTCTCATCACCATTTCACGGATTTGAAAACATTTGCATCTGCAATTTGCAATTTCGCGTCACGAAACATTACAAATGCACGACCAAAAGGAAATGTTTAGGAAAAGTCAGTTTTCTCTTTCTTTCTATATCCTTTCATGTTGTTTTTCAATTTCTCCCTGGTGTATTGTATATACCCATGATTTATTAAATGTTAGATTGTCAATAAACTTCAAATCAATACTTGGACCAGAGAAACCACGAAATCATTACTCGTTTAAAATTTACAGGATAGATCACCTTTTTTTATCAACAGTGGTGTACTTGTGGAATATGGGCTGTTATTTACCGTCATATTTTCAAAACACAGATCAACATAGGCTTCGGAATGGCACACAAAAATAAACAGAATTATCGATTTAAAACAACAAAGCATCATCTTCTGATATACTCAAGCATCTAAATAACTTTCACCAGCTTCTCAGCTCCAGTGGCTCTAAGTACAAAAGGTGAGCATGAAAATCAATC